CGGGAGCTGAGCACCCAACACATCCCATTCCAGCTCATGCAAAAAAAGAAAGGGCTTTAGATACACATCAAAACAGGTCAAAACTCAACGATGGACACCGTGAGTACTATGGATGCAAGATTGTCAAAGCATTCCCAATAAAAAAAAGTGTCAGCACATCTACACTATCATGGAAGATGAGAGACAGCGACAGCAGAAGTGGCAGAACAGATAGCCTCGATGCTCGTGTGTGCGTTCTGGGTGCATTTCTTCTATTCCCTCCCGTGGGCCCGCCCTCTTTGATGGCGTCAGAATCTTGTGTAACCGCCCTATGTTTGGGAGATTCAACGTCGTAGTCGACGATACTCTGCCGCTCACCCACTCCACGCTGCACCGTACCCTGTCGCTTACGTGGCCCCCCTTCTCCAGCCACTGAAACGGGCGAGGCGCTGTAGTTGAGAGCAAACATCGACAACAAACGTTTGAGCAGACATCGACGACTTGAACTCGTCGAGTGTCGGGACTGCTATCGCAGTAAAAACAAAACAGAATGTCTCACCTACATCGTAAATTTTACTACAACGTGAAATATAATCTTTTAAGCCCTAACTGGAAAATTCCTGAAACTGGATAGCCACTACAACTGAACCCTCATTTTCATTCTCTCCTTTAATTTACCCTTTCCATATCTGAGTGTTAATCTAGAGTACTGCAAAATTTTTTGTGTTCAAAATTAAACATTGTTGCTAAAAATGAATGTTTGTCCCTGTATGCCCTTTGCATCTTATTCTTTCATTCGTAAGTAATCATCAAGCTTCTACTCTTTAACCTCTCATGGCATAACCATCGAGTTGGCTTCAAAAAATCACAACTACACTTTTTCTTATGATTTCGAGCATTTATTACGAACATAAAAAAAAGAATGAAGTCACCAGAGTTAACAGTTCAGGTAATTTGTTTCTAATCCAGACGTAATTTCTTTCTAAAGTGTGGTAAATAACTCGCAAGGGTACCTGTTCCCCCAAGCACTGCACGAATCACAACTTCCAGTCATCTGCTCCCATTTTCTGTTAAAAAGATGTCGGATGCCATACTTTGGGAACATCTGATGGTTCTAGTGGTACGGGTTTCTTTTTTACTTTTGTGGTGCAGCTCAGCATTTCATCTACAAACCATTCGGACATTACTAGATTACTAATGCAAGATGCATCTTCCCTTTCATACATGCTTATTTCTGATTTCTTGCCCTTAATATTATTGTTTTTCCAGCCTCCAGCAAACACACGGCGGAGAACTCGGCCCAAACAGATGTGGTGGTGACTGTGCCTTGCTTTATCTGCTGTAAGTATGGGGGAGATTCTTTAAAAACTGTCTGTTCAAGCATTTATGCATCACATGGCATGCTTTCCAGCTTCCAAGTTTGAAGCACTGCAGAAAGAGGTACTTCATCTAAAACACAAAGAAGCAAAGCTGCTGTCCGATAATGCAGTCCTCCTCCGAAGCATGGAGGTCAGACCTGTAACCACCTGCTCTTCCGACCAGCTGACCGAATCGTCAGTGCAATTCTACACTGGCCTGCCGAGCCTTGCCCTCTTCGCTCTTATTGTACAGTTGATGCAAGAGGGCACAAAATACCTGCCAAGCACTGTGTCCCTGGGAGATGCCGTGCTCATGGTGTTGGCCAAATTCCGTCTAGCACTGCTGAACCGAGATCTAGCTTTTCGTTTCAATGTGTCGGAGGGGACGGTCGCACACATAATGGTTAACCTCATTCCCTTGCTCGCAACAATTTTTTCGAAGTTCATCATATGGCCCACACGACCAGACATTGCTCGAACGATGCCAACCCTTGTCCACCGGCACTATCCACGATGTCGCGTCATTGTAGATTGCTCTGAATGCCGAATTCAAAGACCGCTCTCATTCACTGCCCGCTCACAAACATATTCACACTACAAGGGTACTAACACTATCAAATTCCTAATAGGAGTGACGCCGTGTGGTGCAGTGAGTTTTATCTCTAAGGCGTGGGCAGGCAGGGTATCGGACAAAAAGCTCACTCAGAAAAGTGGCCTGCTTGATAAGCTTGAGAGTGGAGACACTGTTTTAGCCGACCGTGGATTCCTCATTCGTGAGGACATAGGTAGAGTGGGAGCTACACTTGTTGTGCCCGCATTCACCAGGGGCAAGCGGCAGCTTCCCGCACAGGAAGTAGAGACTGCGCGGCAAATGTCAAAGATTAGGATCCACGTAGAGCGAGCCATCGGTCGTATTAAGGTTTTTAGGATCTTGCAAGACAGACTGCCAATAACGCTGCTGCGACATGCCACCAACATCCTGCTCATATGTTCTGGCATTACGAACTTGAAGCGCAAATTGTTGTAGGCGCTGTTCATGATGTGTGAACTCTGCTGGTCAAGGCAGGGAACTTGAAAAACCTGCTACATGCATGGTTCTTGAAAAGGAGCCTCCTGCTAGTTTCAATGTGGCAGCCAACATTTCACTAGAGATCTAGGTTCTCCAAGGAAGCTAGGTCTCTTAGCGATATGTCAGCTGCAATTGTTGAAACTACCAGATCTCTTTTCAAGTCCTTTCTACAAGATTCAACCACATTTGTGTTGTTTTGGGGTACATGCAGTACGAACCTTTTAGCCAGCAACAATTACATTTTTTACTCAAATTGGTAGCTAACCTTTTGCCTTTTACTCTTTTAATGACTAGCAAGTTACTTGCATTGTAAACAGGCACACACGGTGGCTGTCCTACACTTTAAATACCAAATTAGTAGCATCTTCTTTTTAAAATATTAAATTGTGTGAGTTACTAGGCAGCGTAAAGTTAATCAGCTGTCAAAATGTGCCAACTTATCTTTTCTTGGGGCGTGAAGCAGTAGTGATCACACGAATGCATGCCGGTACAATTCCTGAATATTCGGACTTCGGCGTGGCAACACCAGTAACCCAGGGCTGCTCTTCAGACCCACATTTTCGGACTGCTCAATTATTCTGACTCCCGGCAGAGTAAAAAAAAATCGGTTGGCCACTGTATTTATTTTTTTTTTCTACATGCAGTTGATGAATTAGATCAGCTACCTAGTACATATTACTTCAGTTATTTAATTATGCTTTTCTAGACGAATGAGTCTTTTCCTATGCGTTTATGAATGTTTGTGTGGACTATTAGTGTAGGACAAAATTTAAAAAAATGCTTCAATCACTCTCTTTGCAGTAATGGAATTTGGGCAATTCATAAAAACTTAAGTAGGCCTTAAAAAGTCAGGACACCTAAGCACTTTTTACGAGTTGTGAATGCGAAAGCGTGAATGTCATTCTTCCGCTCCCTTAGTTCGTTCGTCTCCGGTGTAGTGGCGTGGACGGCCACATTTGGCTACTGCCGAGGGGCGGCCGACGGCCAAACGCGCGCTTCGTGCGGTGGTTGGGCCACGCTGAGCTCGGCCGTGCAGCCCATTTGAAGTTTGCCCGAGCAGGCTGTGCGGCCAGGCCCGCACCTGTTACCGGCGGCTAGGCCGCTGCGTTCGCTGCGCCGCTATGGAGAGGGCTTCTCTGGTGGCATAGTTTGGAACTATGCCGCGTGAGAGCCAATGGGAGCCTCATTCCTTGAAACTAACGTGCGCCAGCCAATGGGCTGGCGCACGTTAGTTTCAAACTGAACTCGCAATCCATCAGATTGCGACTTCACTTTGTTCCATTGGGACAGGGGAATTTAGGTGCTGTTGGCACGGCTTCAAAGCTGATGACGTCGGTTTGCTCCATGGGACAGTTAGTGGTTTTGCATTAATATAAATTTAATTTTATTGAGAACCCCAGTTTAAATTCCTGTTTCCTCCGACACATTGAACTAAGAAGTAAGATCAAGGCTCTCTTGAATGAGGTTGTACCATCCCACGGTGCTGTCCGCAGGAAATCGCTTGGGACACATCAGCTTTTGCACCAGTAGTTGGCATGTCCGTTTATTTTGACAATTTTCTGTATTTGTTATTACATTACTGCAAGCTTATCAATTGTTCCAGGTTTAATTTGTGTGTATTTCTTTGGGGAAGGCAGTTGCACCTGTGTACTTCCTGACAGAACTTTTTATTTCTTGTCATGTAATCACAAATAAAGGTTCTGTTGCTTAATTCCACTCGGCCTATCATTCTGTCCACACTACAGGGCTTGAAGTTTATCTGATATGCAAACATCCTCGTTTATTTCACTTTCACATTGTATGGATCTGGCTCTTTTAGAAAAGAAACTCATCATATGCATGTACACAGCATAAAAAAAGGAACTCCAGATCTGCAAATTACAAGCGATACACGATATACAAGCACGGAACTTAGCAGAGTAACAGACATTGAAACATTTATGTACACGAAATAGGACAAAGATGAACAAAAATAAAATTACAATGTTCCTTAGCCATCCATTTCTGAAACTGCGGAAGTTGTTAAAGGGGCACTGAAGTCGATTTTAGAAAAGAAACTCATCATATGCATGTACACAGCATAAAAAAGGAACTCCAGATCTGCAAATTACAAGCGATACACAACGTCACATTTTCAGGAACCATACAAAACAAGCACGGAACTTAGCAGAGTAACAGACATTGAAACATTTATGTACACGAAATAGAACGAAGATGAACAAAAATAAAATTACAATGTTCCTTAGCCATCCGTTTCTGAAATTGCGGGAAGTTGTTAACGGTGCACTGAAGTCGATTCTGAGATCGTCCTTTTGTGGTGACAACTCAACCTAGATGCTCTTAAGCGTCCCAATAAGCCCTAAATTACCATTGTGCATAGCCAATTAACTTATTAAAAACATAAGCTATGGCTGCGCCCGCGGTGAAAAAGTGGAGTCTTATCTGAATGTGTACCTATCTGACTCTTTTCAAAACGAGTTATAATAAAATCGTTCGGAATCTGCACGTATCGTAGGACTTTCATTGGTCTAGAAATTGAAAAAAATAGTCCGCAGTTTTTCTGTTGCCCCGAGGTGGATATCTTGTTTTGTAATCTATAATTTTATGTATGTATAACTAACACCTTTTCAACAATATATCAAAAACAATCTTTTATAAAAACCACTTCAGTGCCCCTTCAGCACCAGATTATTCAACCTATTACATTAGCTCCGGTACGACATGATCGACCCAGAATGATCGTGCCTTCTCCAGAACAGGAGCATAAAGTCCCCTGTTAATGGGTACGACTATTAGCTCGTAGTCATTTGGAGTCCACACAAAGAAGTGTGCAGATTCTTTTCGGCAAACATGCAGTTGCGTCTGCACCTGCATGAAATGCTGATGCGACTCTTTCAGTTGCAAGTCAGCGGTGAGGCACTCATAGTCCTTGGCTTGAGAGTCATCATGGCGCAGTGTCCACGGGCACTTGACTTCCAATGTCCCTACCCCATGGCAGCTGCACGTCCAGATCCCGTCGGGGGACGCGCCAAGGAAGTTATCCTAGTAAAACCGCCAAATAGAAAAAAAAAGCATGGTGATAATAACAGCCCTAGTATGATATATACGGAACCCCTCAAATTTCACACAGAGGCACGAACTGAAAGCTTAAAGGGGCCACGAAACGATATAAGGGTTGAATGTTATGCCCTTTATGCAGGCATACTGACACAATTGTAACACGAGCCTGCTCGCATGCAATGCTGCTGAGCCAGGAGGTTCTTTTCTCCGATGTGATTTTTTCAAGCATGATGGTACAGCATTGTGATCGGCTTGAACACTGCGCAAGCACTTTATTTGGGCCCCCAGTCCACAAAAGGGATTTTACAGTAATTTTTTTTTTCAATCTCCTTTCATAAAAGGGTATAAAGTGCTGAAGAAACTTGGACCGAGACAAAGAAAGCAATGACACAGGGCGCACTCTCAACTGAAGTACGTTGGAAAATGTACACGCTATTATTCCCTAGGAAAATGCACATTCATCAATCATTCTCTGCCCACCTCGCGTTTTAAGTACTCCTACTCATCCGTCGATGGGGCCAAAGACGTTTCGCTGACGCACTTGTTTCCTCTAGCCCTAATCTCAAAAGCCTTGTGTAGCTCGCGTGACACCTTGTTCTTGTATTTTGCCAAACTTTTTGTGCTGTTGAATGATGGGGCGCAAGGGCATCTGCTGCAATGAACGGCGGGATGCCCTGACGGTGTCGTCCTCGTGGAAGCTGCGTGTTCGCCATTAACATAGCGGCCTGTTTGCCCTACATAACTTAACCCACACGTCATCTGAATCTCATGCACGACGCCAGTCGTGCAATCTGTGTGCTTATTCCTATGCCTTGTGCTGCACGGGTCTATGATCGGCTGGGGATTATTGATCCTTCGGCATAATCACGACATCTTGTTACGCGCTGAAAACACAACCAGGACATTGTAACGCTGAGCCACCTTCTTAAGAATGTGTGCGACGCCGTGCATATATAGAATAACCACCGGCCGTTGAAGTGTTATGTCGCAGGATGGTTTCTGTGATGTCTTAAATTTCCTTATCAGGCTCCTGGCTACCTCGACCAATGAGCTCATTGGGAATCCCCCCTCCGCAATCGGCCTACCCGTCTCACAAAGCTATATTGTGCGCTGCGTAGACAGGACCTCTTAAGCGACGCTTCTAAACACGAGCTGGCAATATCTCTCTTCACGAGCTTTGAATGACAGGAGTCGTAAGGAAGAATCCCCTTCTTTGACCTATGTGCATACGTCCAGCAAATGTGCTCCCCTAAAAAACAGCTTGAGGTCGAGGAATTGCATTATTCCATCTTTAGGTATTTCATGAGTGAAAGACAATCCGTGGCAACATGATTTAATCACCTTTAGCACCTCCTCACAACTAGAGGGACCGATTGTGGGTGCGAGGATGAGGAAATCATCAACGTAGTTAGATACCTTGTATCTGCCATCACTCTTCATCAATTTCTCCGAGATAGCCTTTCTGCGCACACCTAAAAAAATATTGCACAAAACAGGAGCAACACTGGCACCGATGCTAATTCCCTTCTTCTGCACATAAATTCCCCCATCAAATGGTGGTTATTCCATATATGCACGGCGTCACACGTAATTTTAAGGAGGAGGCTCAGCGTTACAATGTCTCGGCTGTGTTTTCAGCGCCTAACAAGATGTCGCGATTATGCCAAAGAATCAATAATCCCCAGCCGTTCATAGACCCGTGCAACACTAGATATAGGGACAAGTACACAGAGTGCACGACTGGCAGCGTGCATAAGATCCCGATGACGTGTGGGTTAAGCTATGTAGTGCAAATATGTGTGTTAATGATCAAGCTCGCGAACACGCAGCTTCCACGAGGACGACACCATCACGGCATCCCGCTGTTCATTGCAGCAGATGCCCTTGCGCCCCGTCATTCAACAGCAGAAAGATTTTGGCAAAATACAAAAACAAGGTGTCACACAAACTACACGAGGCTTTTGAGATTAACGTGAGCTGCGCAGGGATTGATTGATGACTGTGCATTCCTGTTGGGAGTAATAGCGTGTACTTTTTCGAATAAACTTCAGTTGAGAGTGCGCCCCATGCCGTTTTCTTCGCGTCTTGGTCCATGTTTCTACGGCGCTTTATACCTTTTGCAATGTATTAACTGGCCCATCTAAGCACATTATTCCTTTCAGAAGACCAAAACATGGAAAGTTTTGCATTTAATCAGTTTGGTTCTAAGCAATTGCAATAAGCAACGGACCGGTTTGAGAGAACCCTCTCCCAAACCAATTGAAAGAGGGTGAGCCCAGGCTTTTGTCTCTCTTTCCTGCGACGCGGTTTTTTGTCACAACAAAAGTCGGGAGTCGTGCATGTTTTTCAATTCCGGTGTGGACGCCCCTCAAGGCTCATTCATGCACTTGTAACCGTGTAGGACGAAGAGAGACAAGACCGGTTTTTAAGCCTCTTGCGACGTCTTGGGACCGCATGTGCTGCTGCAGAGCTGGTCCTAAGACGTCGCAAGAGGCTTAAAAACCGGCTGTGTCTCTCGGTCGTCCTCGGTTACAAGTGTGTGAACGAGCCTTAACATACAACAGTTACAACTCCTTGTGAGGCTGTGAAATGGAACAAGGGAAGAGTGCTTCAGTTGTTGGCACCAGCTGATTAAGATATAAATTAAGAAAGTTGTGCAAGCTTTGTCTGTCCTTGCACATTCAAACACGAAGAGAAGAATAATGGCAGCGGGTACAACCTTCTTATCGATCACGAACCCAACACTGCAAAGCCTGAAGTTGCTGTGGCAAGTCTCCATGAACTTCTGATATGCCTCCTTGGCTTCGGGCTCCTTCTCGACACCCCAGCGGATGGCCTCGGTGGTCAGTGGCGGGGTTCTTAGTAGAACGAGGTCGAGGATGGCCTTTGGGGATGTAGTGTCTCGCATTGTGCGAACCTGTAAAGGGCACATGCTTGGCATGCTGGCACTTACGAAAATTGAGCGAATGTCATTAGTTCACAAACCTTGTTGATGATGGAAGCAGTTATTCTGCCGTAGCGAACCTCCCGCCACATAAGTGTTGTCGCCTGCCGTCTCGTGCTCTTTTCTATCCTCTCAATTTCTCTCATGGGAACAAACATGTCTTGCGGGAGCGACATCCTCGTTGATCTTGTCCTCCTGACTTTCCTTAAAAATGAAATATTTACAAAAATTAGAACACTATGAAGATAGGCGACGTCAGAGCCGTATATTGGGAGAGTTAGGCCAGTGGGTGTGGCAACGAAGGCGCCGGAGAGGAGAAAAGTGAAGGAAAGGGAGGAGGGCGCCTAAAGACGAGAGAGAAAGAAGGGAGCAAAGAGGAGACGACCGCCATTTTGACGCAATGCAGTCGGCGCCGAGCCCTGTTGAGGTTACGCGTTGTCTGCTACGGGCTTATTTCTTTTTCGCCGGAAGCAAAGTTTCCGTTCAAATGCAAAGAAACTTAATTCGTTAGCTTCTTAAGCCACCGAGGAATAACAATATTTTTTTGCCATAGCCTGCCAAATAAAAGGAAAGAAGCGAAATTTAGATGTCGATCCCATGCATTTTGCCGGACGAATGAGTGAAAATGGCAGCCCTCCCCGCTCAGCTGGGAGCAGCTGAGAGTTCACGCACATGTGCTCACGCCTCTCGCTCAGCGCCGCGAGCTGATTGGCTCACTCGGAAGGGGGGCGTCCAGCAGCAATATCATAGACTGGCCAAAATCTCCCCATACACGGCTCTGGGCGACGTTTGTCACATTCTTGAGACGATACATTCATAATTTTGTTTCTACCCCTAGCATTTCTGCAGAAGCAATGAGCATTCCTGTGTCAATGAACAAGGCTCGTGCAACTTAAATGTTCTGGACATGTTCTTCCCAGGGGATGCACGACAGTAAAGGAGATGGTGCACTGACTTTTACTACTCGTAGAAAGATTGAAGAGAAGCCCATCGAAGTAACGAGGTGTACAGCACCCGCAGTCATATGTGCCCCCTTCCGACAAGAGATTTCTGGTGAAAGCACAACTGCACTTCACTGGTAATCTGGTAGTCTCTTGCCCCACAACACATTGCTATAACTTGATTTGTTTTAAAAATTCGGGGCTGATTGATAGCTTAACCCCATGTTATGAATTAAAGAAACTTGCTGCCAAAGCACCAAAAAAACCTGCTTTTTGTGTAAGGCACGTCACACTATTAGGTGCTGAAGAAAACCAGCCCTCGTCTTTAAGTCCTTATTTTGACCTCTTTTGATCATGTTCCGCCAACAACAAGTGGGTGGTCTCGCCCACTCGATGACCATGCCGCCAGTGCGCCCTTCGGAATGATTATGGAGCTGCCCAGGTCCAGGCTAACCTACAACCAGACGCCCCAAGCACATCCATTTCCCGCAGGCTACTTAGGCCGGTTCAGACCAATGAATGGGAGCTCCCATAGGGGGAGGCTCTGGCTAAGCAGGGACTTTACTTTCTTTTTGCAGCATCTCGCCTGCCACGAATCTGCCTCATACGGCAGCATGGGCCCCACAGGCAGTTCCGTCAAATAAGGCAATACCAACCCTTTATTTTTTTGGCTGACAGGGCAAAGCGTGTTGTCGTTTTCGAGTGCCAATAAACACATCGTTTACGAATTCAGTGTGTTGCTGCTGTCTCCTCTCCATTGGAGCCTTACAGCAGTCTTCGGATGAACTGGACCGTAGCAGTTTTAAATAGCGAGCTACGGAGTGCGATTTACCTAGCAGTGTCCAGCAGGTAAAGTAGAAACCCACAGGTTAAAGTATCAATGTGCCAAATTTAGTAACAGGAATGAGCATTAGCTTGCCTCAAAAATGTGTAGGACTGTTCGTCCTCTGAGGCGGAGTCGGTGTCCTCGTCGTCCATCTTTGGGATGGACCTCAGGACGACTGCTTGAGGGTTTAGTCGGTGAATCTCTTGGAAGAGGGCTTTGTCGGCGAGCTGGAAATCCCCGGACACATGGTTTGGTTCTTCGGGAAGGGTTCGGCTCGGCATTCCAGGCTTGCTGAGGTCCAGCTGGTGGACAGGGACCATGTCCTCCTGTGGTGTAGACATCCACATTTACATCGCCTTTTTTTTTTTAAAGGCCTGCATCTCAAGTTGTCAAAGCGTGGCAAAAAATTGTATGAATGCATATTGATTTTACACACCTCGCTGCTACTGAACTTATGTTCCATCTAGAAACTTTTGATCGTAGCACATGGATCAAAAGGAATAAACTAGTGTCATAATTATTAAATATAGCCCTTCATATTTACCATTTATGCATAGATATGCACTGATGATCAAGGGTTCAATGGCACTACAACAGCAGAGAAAACTACAGTGGCCATCTAAACCTGCAACTACGGTAGGTACAATGAAGCTGAGCAATGGAGTTAAAGATTCATTGCAATATGTAGCTAACAGATTGAACATGGACATGCTATAATGTGATCTCCACAGCTTGTTCGCTGCACTGATACCTTTGACTGCGAGACAGCCAGTGCCGTCACCAAAAAGCACAAGCATAATTTTTGTCACAATCCTGAAAAGCTCCCCGAATTATGCCCTCGGACACTGAAGACTGCTTGTTCTGGGCAAAGGATTAGGCATTGGGATTGTTATCCAAGGACAATAATTACAATCCTGACATTTTGTTGGGTTGGCCTACATGATAATTCTCATAGCAAAATGCCTTTAACTTTAGCGTCACTGAGCACACATTTTAAGAGCTTGCGAATGCAGGATTCATGAATGCAGGTTGAATGCGGATACGAAAGTCCCTTTTCGTGCACGGCTTTACTTATGCAGGTAGCCAAAAGAAACGAAAGACAGCTGTAATTTAGTTACACAATCTGTCACATAGGGTTCCAGACACCAGGATCTAGAATAGTTAAAAATATTTGACAAGAGCTCATATCTACAATATGCATGAGTACTGTAACAGACCTTTCTTGCGACCGTCCTGGTCCATGCACACGGCTGAGAGGTACACGAGTCTTCCTGGGACACTCTGGCCGTGTATTCCACACAGAACAAAAGTGCAGCTACATGACGGCAGACCTCACCCAGACTGCAAGGAAAGAGGTAAATAGTTAATCAGCTTTCATCTAAACGAGCAAATAATGCTTCTGGAAAATGCTGTGTTGCCGGTGCAGCTATGAACGAACTTACCCCGCTTTACATGTGCAGTGACCACAGTAAACTTGACCTGTCTTATGGTCCAGGCATACCCATGCGTCATGGGGTGGGCCAGTTGCCCTCTGCGATGGCTTGACATTCGCCCGCACAAAACACAACTCGTGCCTGTCAGGCTGCCACAGCCGGACGTCACGTACATGGCCTGGGCAAGAATACAAAACCAATACACCAGTCAACGGTGACCACTCTCAACCAAATACCCTCTTAATTTTGACACCATGGCGGTGGTTTTACAATGACCATCTTGTCCACGACATCCTATGTTTGAGAAGAATATCAAAACAGCAGCCTCAGAATTGCAAGTGGGTGGAAGGAATGTGACATCTGAATTTAGATGTGCATGCATGTGGCACAAAACAAGAAATATGTGACATGAAAATAATGTTGTTTACAACTTGTTCATGTTGGTGTTCAACAACAATTTCTAATATGGTAGATGCCTCACACGAGCACACCGCGGCCACTAGTGGCTTCTATGACAGCCTATCAGTTGTTGGCAGAAAACGGGAGACACCGGCGATCGCATGTTGTGTTAGTCACTGGACAGTACACAGCACAGCTCTGCAATACGCAGTCAAGGCTATATTGCTGAGAACGAGACATTCTGCACGAGCAGTTAGACGTGTTTTGTAACGACTAGGCGTCTTTGCCGACTGGATTTTTTACTGTACGCCACTTCTGAATGACGATTGTTCCAGGTACGCGTGGGCGTGATACACGCACATGGAATGAACAGGAACGCAGGGTAAGCATTAGCACGTAAAACTCGAAGCTGTGTTACAAAGGCGGTTTTTAACCACAGACATAAGAACGACGAAATCAACGACCGACACGGGAAAAAGCTAGCTATCTTAGAGTGAGTATGTACAGCACCAACGAAACGTGGTTGCGGCGTTACGGATCTCGGAATGACCTACATGAATCCTCAACACCTTGCATTTTTTGCTCTGTGGCGCAAATCATTCAAATTCAGTCCGTACTACGCTTGAAACATCGTCTCAACTCAGGCCTAAAACAGCTGGCTTCGGTAGGCGATGGAATGCAGCCCTGCTTACCTGACTCGAAGTAGTTGTACGCCTCCAGGGACTTGTACGCCAGCAATGTGTCCGGCGTAAATCGGCTGGGCGTGAAAAGCAGATACACTGTTATGTTTATCATAGTAACGGGGGGCCACCGCCGACCCGTCAACGTCCATTCCGAGGCGTCCACGCGGTACGGATCGCCGTAGTCCACACCGTTTACACGCAGCTTCGCGTCATAACGGGCTCTGTCCGCTTCGCTGAGGCCGCTGTAGTAGTCCGACATTGCAATCGGCACGTAGGAAAAGCAATACCAAGCGAAATACACGGCACAATGTGAAAAACAACAGCGTATACCAAGGGCTTGTTTACACAGGGACGCCGAGCTTTTTGCCCACCGGCCACCGCGCATGCGCCAGAGAAAGAGAGAAAGGGAAAAAAAGAGGGAGAGGGCGCGCCGGGTTGTTTGTGAACATGAGTTGGTGTATAGTGTGGAGAAAAAGAAATAGTGGAGTGTGGAATCAGTTTAAGTGATGTGATTGAATATTATTTAATGCGCATGACATAGACCAAGGTCTTAAAATAATTCGAATGTTAAATTTAGATGCCCCATTTCGAGAACAAAGTCGAGGGCCGATGTTGGCCTCGGGAGGGGGGGGATGAGTCTATATATTGATCTTTGCATTTTAGGAAAAATATGGCAATGGTGTTCCATGCTGGTAAGCCGCCAATCATCCCAGCAACAAGACCGCCGAAAATTTTATTGAAAAACCTAAAATTTAATTCAGGCTTAAAGATGTAGTCGTGTGCTCAGTAAAAAGTTAAATCACGCTTAACGTCAATTGCTCTTTGCAAGCGAGATGCTACCAAATTGAAATTATCTCAAAGTATCCGACTACATATATTGTTTAAACTACATAAACTTCGAGGTCGCTATTTAAATAATGAAAACACATTTCAGAACCTACAATTTAGATGTCTAGGTGCAGTTTAAGAGGTGGTCATTGTTGGAGAGGAATCAAACATTGATGTTTGATGCCTTTCCATAGGCATCAAACAATAATCCCATAATGTTTTAAATGTACAGGCGCCTAAGAGCTGCGCTCTAAAAGGGAGGTTCATAGCAATAGTGAAACCAAAATCTGACGAAATTCAAATACCCCGTACACGGGAAAGTCGGACGAAGAAGGTTAATAGACAGTTAGTTGAAAGACTGTCAGTGCGCAGGCGAGCAGGTGGTAGCTAATCATGCTGTTTAACACATGAGACTTTATTTATAAACAACTAGACTTTTTATATTGTTGCTGGTAAGCCGCCAATTATCCCAGCAACAACACCACCGAGAATTTCTAGAAAAACCTCGTGGTTTCTGCTTTTTGTAACCTCGCTTATTTAAATATATATATAAATATCATGACGTCAACGGCATCCGCATCGTCACTGATGACGTCATCGGCATCTGCATCGTCATCGTCATCGTTCTTGATGACGCCATTAGTGGCGTCACTGATGACGCCATCGGCATCCGCATCGTCACTGATAACGTCATCAGTGACGTCACTGATGACGTCATAGGCATCAGCATCGTCCCTGATGACGTATTCAGTGACGTCATTGTTGACGTCATCGGCATCGTCATCGTCACTGACGAAGTCATCAGTGACGTCACTGATGACGTCATCGGCACCCGCATCGTCATCGTCATCGTCATCGTTTTTCCATAGGAATACACAGGAACACCGGAAAAGTAGACTGGTTGCTGTCTGCTTCAATTTGCCTCCCGGAAGTCGCATAGACACAAGCGCCAGTTGAACCTCTAGCGTACATTATAATAACTCTATGATTAAGACGGAGCAATAGTCACATATAAAACAAATGTGCGTGGGCCACGTTTTTGAGACCCCTGCTATAAACTGTAGGGCTCATGAGTGCACACTATGAACTCTCTGACGCTCTAGCAGCGTGTATGGGTGTGGGACTAGCACAAACACCCGTAGAGCTCTTCTCCCGAAAACACCAACACGACTATGTCGGGCTCACGTATGTTGTTTGGTACTTGTCCAAAATAGCCGCAGCAGATGATGACGTTCATAAGTAACCTTATCGAACAAATCCTCAAGCAGAAATTGAAACGCTTCGAACGCAACGCAAGTTGTGTTGAGGGTCCATGCTGTCTTTCCTTCAGAAAACATGGTAGAACTTAATTTCCTGCTATGGTAAGTTGTACCATGTTATGATGCCGAGTAACCTTTCAGGGTTAGTTATTATCGTGAGTGTCCCGCTAAAAGTATCCAATAAGTTAATATAAAGTTGAGCGTTTCCATTGCTGAAAACCGAAAAGATGTGGCGTCAAACTTTAATGTTCCGAGCGGTTATCGGATTCTCAAACTTTGTCCTGGTGAGTGATCGTATGTTCTGTTGTTTCTTTTTTTTTTCTTTTTTTTTTTAGAATGCACTTTCGCACTCGCCATACGCAGTTTAAAATAAAGTTTAAAAAAGCGTAAATTGTAATTTAAAATTAAAGACAGAAACATTGATTTACGGGCCTTTCTTTTGATGTTCCTATTATTAATAAGACTACAGTAGCACGTAGGGCGGAAACTTTACACTAACCTGAGATGAATAGCGGCGTTAAACGCGGTAGGATTCTTGCGATAATATTTTATTTTCAGAAGGTATTATATTTTCCAATTTTCCATACATTTTTTTTTGTTGAAAGAAAATGCTGTGAAAACTTTCAGCCGTTCAACCAAGGAGTTTTTACCATGCACCAGCAACATTCCTTAAAACAAAATACAAGATACAGTCGTTCCCGTGACTTTCAGTGTCACTCAAAAAACGAATGTCTCAAAACTAAAGCAAATATGTAAATAACAAACTTTAAAGAGTTCAGATATTGCACCCTTCCTGTGTTATGAAAAGAAAATAATTTGAATCCAGAATTTTTTTCTAATGATAAATGCATCACAAAAGTATTCGTACAAACTATATGCATACTAAGCAAAGCTCTTGAAGTTTACAGTAGTTTTAGTCTTCTTTGTCAGACGTGAGTAATGACGGCGATGCGAAGTTGGTGGATGTGCTTACCTACCTAGTTTCTCCAAAATGCACTTTGTCCTCGTAAATAAAAAACAAAAATAAATCTTGTTTGATATATTCACTGCACGCGAATAAAAATGAAACAGAAAATGTTGATGAGAAAATCGAACTAAGAAAATCGGTACCGCCTTCTGATTTGGTAGTTTTCATCCGCACCATTGGCTGTCCTCGTCGTTTATAAGACAGCGAACAGAATATAAACAGACAAGTCAGACATGTTAATTTCATCATCGCCAGACATTATATAAATAAATTTAAAAAAAATACGAAGAACAAGGAGGCACGTCTGACAGGTGCTACTTTGTCAAGTGCCTGAATTTTATACTATACGTGAAAAAATAGTAATGGCAAACTTAATTTACAAACCTTTGAGGGACTTTTCTGGGCGAAGGCTGTATTAGTTCCCTCTCAACTATTTCCCTTTTTTTGTATTTTACCGTTGGAGTTAGATTTCTCTGCTGCAATAAAAAAAGTACGAATCCTGTTTATATGCATTTTAAAATAAAATTAAATGTATTTAAGTTATTTTCTCTCGAGATAAACTATTGCTAATTACGGCGACGTTTTCAAAAACAATTAATAATAATATCGATTATATGTAGATGCCGTATAATTTTATTATATTTTGCCAATCAGTAAAAGCTCGACCAGCATTATTAATGGTTAAACATTTAATTTAATAAATTCTAGATCGAACGAGCTAATTGTTGAGTGTAGTAGTACTT